TGCGGGGTTGGCCCCGGCCGGGGGCCCGGCTGCGGCCAGCCCGCCAGGTCATACGGCTTCCCGCAAAGGCGGCCTCTGTCTCCCGGGAATGCCCCTTTCTCCGAGCGCAGTTTAGGTAGAGACAAGGCAGCAGGTATCCAGAGTACTGCCAGCAACATCTCCTGTTTGCAGACAGAAGGCCAAAATCCACGGCTGTAATTCCAGAAAGGTCCTGGAGGTACCAGATGTCCCAGGGCAGGTCTCAGCACGGGTCAGACCTCGTCTCGCCTGTCCAGCTCTTTTCTCTCACGCAGCGAACGCTGTCAGAAATCCCCCCACAGAGCAGGGGACAAACCTCGGGTCAGTTGGCAGCCTGGCACAGCAGACTCCAGTGTTCCTCTGCAAGTGCTTCTTTTGGGCACAGTCATCCTTGACTGAGGAATGTTTTCAGCAAAAAACTAGAAGGAAAGGATGTATTTTGGGGGGGGGTCTCTTCATCTCAGCTTTCTCTCTCCAGAGGTTTGGTCCCCAGGCAGAAGCGCTGGCACGTGCAGCAGCAGCAGCCCTGATGGGGGGGATGTGGGGATGGGGGCTGCTTTTACTCGGGGACAGCTCGGAAGCGTGCTGCCTGCAGAGAAGCATCTTCTCAGGTCTGTCCAAAGGGGACCATGCCGGAACCTATTTGGCATCTCCCCTGTTCATGGCAGTGTGTTGGGTGGCTCCCGCCGTTTCCTCTAGACACGTGCCTCCTGCCGGGGATCCGCTCTTTAACGGCCAGGGACCCGAGCGTAGGTACCGTGTCCCTCTTTGGGACTTCTCGCAGAAACCAGCCCACTTGGCAGGACACGGGGTGCCAGTGATGTGTTACGACGATGTGACCGTCTAGAAAATGCCGCCCAGATCCCTGATAACGTCGTGCCTAACCTGGTCTGCCCTGTCTTCCCGGGCATGCACACCTCAAAGCAGTCACAGTGTCACCTGCTGCCCGGTCCCCTCAGCCCTGCCTGCCTTTTGAGTGGAAGACGAGAGATTAAAACCCAGGCTTTAAGGGAAATGCACTTAAAAGGGTTTTTTCCTCCCCCTGACTGTAGGATACTGCTTACGACAAAGCTGAGCGAAGCGCAAACCCACACAACTACTACTCCGACGTCAATCACCAGCACCCTGGGACTGTGAGTGACCACAAGCCACCCCCCTCCAACCCCAAGGTGCAGTACAGCGCACAGCCCCAGATGTATGACAGCGCGCCTCGGAAGCTGTTGGCTGGGAACCGGGAGGCTGCCTTTAAACCTGGGGACCAGCCTCCAACAAATTCTGCAGCCATCCAGCCAGAGATTCAGAGAATCCTCCACGTTCTGGGGGAGGCTGAACAGCTGGAGCAAGAGGTGGATGAATTCGTAGGGAAAAAGACAGATAAATCCTACCGGCTTCTGGAGGAGATGTTGACCAAGCTGCTGTTGGAGCTGGATTCCATCGAGACTGGTGGCCAGGACAGTGTTCGGCAGGCCAGGAAAGAGTCCGTCCACAGAATTCAGGCCATACTGGAAAAACTGGAGAGAAAGGGATTGTGAAAGCACATCAGCCACAACACACAGCTTGTTGTTGAGGTTCCAAAGAGTTTTAGTTCTGTTAAATCTCAGCTCTTTCTGCTACGCACTATTGATAACGGAATAGCAATAAGCCCTGAGTGAAAAAAAAAAAAACAAAACGAAACAAAACCACCAAAAAAACCCCAACCCAGAAGCCCAGCCCCAACAAATAACTTGGCAATGGACCAATTAAAAGAGGTTTGAAGCAGCAAAGGGAATTGTTTGTTTGTTCCAGGCTTTGGAAAAGCAGAACCACCCGAGGTACTTAGGCTGTAGAGGTCTCTGGGGGTCCGCACCCTCTTCAGCAGCAGGAAGAAAACGACTGTACAAAGTTCCCCAAACCAGGCCCAATCTGCAGGTGCCTCCTGCAGCCACAGCAGCTCTTTGGACAGCCAGAACACTTGTCAGACGTGGTCACAACGGCACTGCAACACGCAGCCACAAACCGAGACTCCGGGCTTGGCAGTCGCTGCCTGTATTTTCAGCTTCAGCTTCCTCGCCGTAAAAACTCGTGTGTCATCGTGGGGTTTTGTTTGGTTTAGTGCACTCAAGCAGCGACACTGAAGTGCTGCAGGAAGGGACCACGCTGGCAGCCCGTTAATGCAAGCAGATGTCACATCGTGCTGCTCCTCCTCTGTCGTGAAGAGCCACTCCGTGGTGTCCCCCATGGGCACGGGAACACAGCCTGGGAATCTCGGTTCTGCCACCGAAAAGGAGAGGTACACGCAGAGGAGCGATGTCAGAGCAGAGCAACCCGAAACGGCAGGATGCTTGGAAATGGGTAAAAATCCACTTTTTAACTGTAGTGTCCTTCCACCTACTGCAAGTTCTGTATTCCACTGCAGAGGCCGCACTGGTGGCCCTGCGCAGGACAGAGGGGAAGGGAACGGCTCAGCCTACAGTTCACCTTCTGGTTACAACACGTTATGTGAGTCATTACTGTGTGAGACAAGACAATAAATCCTGACAACTTTTAAATGTTATTTTGTAATTAAGACGTCTCAAAGTCTCTTTTCTTTAAAAAGAAGGTGTGGGCAGGGCTGTGTAACTCAGACCTGCCTGTAACCCGGACGCCAGCCGGGCTGTCTCAGCGGCCGAGCTCCGGGGTGAAGGCAGCCAGGGGCCTCTGGGAACGCTGGTTCGGCGGGTGCGGGGGCGCAGCGGCCCCCATCGCCTCCCAAGCAGCGCGGGTGCTCCAGGAGCCGTCGGCCCTGGCTCTAGGGCCAGCGGCCGTGTTTTGGAAGGGGGCTTGGCACGCCCGAGGGTAGGAGT